ATTCTCTTCGGAATTTTAGAGCAATATTCCGCTACCTTGATTCGGAATTTCCGAGCACAATTAGGTGCTCTTTTCCTGCGATTTGCAAGCAACTTCGTTCTGATTTTGCTACTTTTAGGATTTGTGAAAATTGTTGCTGTTACTCGATGGTGTTACGTGTTGCCGATCGGATTCATCCTAGCAATCTGGCGTAATTTAGTGATACGATTGTGTTTGATGGATAAAGCAGAGACGAACGACGTGGCTATTGTCAACGTGCTGAACACGCTTATTGTATCGATGGACAATCTCTCGCAATTTCAATTCTTTGGTTTTCGACTAATTTCCTTTCCAAACTGCACTCAAATAGTGAAGTGCTGATGGTGGAGATTATGATTGATGCAAACAAGGTTGGATTGGCTTTGAATGTTCATCGGGATTTACTGACGAATTTTGGATGTTCATCGAGATTTACTGATATTCGTTTTTGGATTATTGACAATAAGTGATATTTGTCACAGCTCAGATCGTTCGTTGTTTACCAGTTTACGCAAATTCTCCTATTTGTTCAGATTTGTTTACGATTCGCTCTTCGGCGCGACTTTCATCGACTTCGATCTGAGATGCAAATCTGACGAAATATTTATTCCCAAAATAGATATTTGGTGAATATTCATTCTTAAATAAATATTTTGCTGAATATCTCATCACATTTGTATTGTTTCGCTTTTGGTTGGATATTTTCGTTCGTTCAGTGGCTGCTTTCTATTGGAACAATAACAGAACGGTTCGTTGGATACTGGAACAACAGAATTCTCAGTGGATGGGGTTGTTTGCTTATCCTTTAATGTTTATCCTTTTTTCAATTGATTATAACAAAAAGGACAAACAATAAAGGAACCGTCTGCTATTTTCGAGATTGAGTAGTGAATAGGTTTAAATAGGTGGCGGAGCTATCATATATCCATACGTTAGATTGCAAGATGCGCGCTCGAGGTGTAGTCATTATCGTTGCGTTACTTTGTAAGTGATTTTACTTTCCTAATTTAGTCAATTGCTGTTCGTATTTCACTAAATCAAGAGCTTTCATAACTGGGGAAATAGAAAAAATAGCTTCGATCAGTATCATGTGCCTTCAGCTCAACTATCTCATATCGATGCTGGGAAACCGAATTGTCCAGATGTGAGAAAATATGGCTCGGGACCACCGCAGAGTTGTACACCACCGAGCGATCCAAACAACAAAAGTCCTTCAAAACTTGAGGAATGGTTTACCAAAGAAATGTTTGAAGTGAGACAAATTTTCCTTTAAAAAACGCTTCAGTAAATTCGATTGTATCAGTTCAACTGCAATAGATGATACCGACATCATCTTTTTGACGTGGATGTTCTCTAACAATGCTTTTCATAAAGAGGAGGAAAGAAGAGTTCTTGCATGCGAGAGAATTTGAAGGTCTTACGGGGGAAAGCGTCGAGATTGATAGATCGTAATTAGTTGATACTTCTTCATATTGTGTCCATAAATGCTCAACAATTTCCTTCAGAATGAGCATTTTACAATAACAAACTGATCACATCGATATCAGCAAAGAACCCGTAGCATAAAACTTATTGATCATCGATTTCTTGATTTTATTCCGATTTGTCCCCGAGATGTGATAATTGTTAGAGAAGGTTGGGGAACAAGGAGAGAACTGCAGCCAAGTGTATTATGCAGAAGGGTGGAATGGTGGTCAGCCATACGGCTAAAAAGGAGAACGGAGAATGACTGTGTGAGAAACTAGGCTTTAAATACTTATGGATGTTCCAAGAGTATTCTCCGCTCTATAACCGCGATTCTATAATCCAAATCGAAAATATCCATTTCCAGGATCTCTTCCCGTATGCGAACATCGGATGGGGTCCCAATAAGTGCTGGCCATATTCGTATGAAGCGTTCGTGATAGCGGCACGCTATTTCCCTAGGTTTGGAACGTCGTCACCAAATTCAGTTTATACACCTGAAGAGAACACTCGACGCGATGTGGCTGCTTTCTTTGCACATGCAATACAAGAGACTGGCGCTAATGATGCATCAGTTTATACGTTCGTTCAATTCCACAGTTTCAGAGGATTTACACTGACTATCTGCTTGAATTTCGAATCTATATGGAGTTGTATTGCTTTTTTGATGGAGCTCATATAGTTTTTCATCCATAATGAAACTGTTTAAAATGCTGAATGCAATATCAGATGTAGATGAAAGATGGATAAGTGTAAAATACGTTTTAGTTTCAAATATTATTGTTAATCAATCGAAATAAATTGGATTTTTGTAGCGGAAGATCTAAGGAAGAAGCTGATGACTGTTTCTATCGAGGTGGTCTGTACAACTGGTTCGAAGGTGGTCCAGTTTCAGGATTTCTTGATTCGGCATCGCCTGGTTCCAAGCCTGAAGATGGAAAAAAGTGCAATGCGGCTGGACGGTAAATGGCTTATATAATACTTCTTAATCACAAAGCAAACAGACGATTTTGCTTTGTTTGACATGAGTAGTTCTATCTTAGCTGGTGAGCGATTAGCTCGAAGTTTGTGACTGAAGATTTCGCCTCTTTAAGACTTGGCATAAGGCAAAGCCAGAGCCTAAACGTACATCTAATTCAGCTGGATGAGGCTAGAACCCACGCGGGTGTACCGTCATACTCATCGTGTGCATTCAACAATCGCCTGCGCTAAATTCATTTCTAAATGTTCACCTAGCTATATACGAGTATTGTTATGAGAAACTAGCACTCGATTCATTTGCAGATATTGCGTACAGAGTCCTCAAATCGATTATTTCTTCTCGTGTGATGGCAGCGATAAAACGGCAGATGGTTTCTACACAGATTGCTATTTTGGTAGAGGAGCGATTCAGGTGAATAGAAAAATATATGTTTCGAATTCATTTGCAAGCGTCGAATGGGATTTGTCTGTGGAATGTTTATGGAACTGAAACTAATTACAGATTTCCTACAACTACAACTACGGTCAGTTCGGGCAATGGCTCCGTGCGAACGGCATCGATGTTGATCTGTTGGCTGAACCGAATTTGGTGATGACCAAGATGGATCCTCCCCTCGCGTTACTCGCTTCGTTGTGGTTCTATATGACTCCGCAACCACCAAAACCCGCAATGCACGATATTGTACTAGGTTGTTATCACTACTGCTTATCACTTCGATGAACATTGACACTGTAATTGATACCTGTAAAACTTACGATACTCTTTGCATGACATAGTCTAATTGTAAAGAGCAGATAACGAATCGCTTAAATATATTATCAGATGCACTACAATGCAATAATAATTAATTTATGCATGAATAGGCGATTGGACTGCGGGATCAGTGAACGAAGCGGCTGGTTATTCGGGACCGATATTTGGACCGACGAGTTTGATCATAAACAACGAATGCAATGGTGAAGATGAAGGAGAGCCTGGAGGTCCTGGGGAAAGCCGTCGCATCAAAGCGTTCAAATGGTTTTGCAAATACTTCAATGTTCCAGCTGGTAAAGATGAAGAGCTGACATGCAAAAGTAAGTAAACGGATCGTAAAGTTAATCATGACCTTTAGAATTTTGAAAGGTTAGTGTCACTGATACTCAAATGAAATGTGAGCTAAATTAATGAATACGCACGAAATATGAGTTATGCTCATTCGTTCATCTTGGACTGATCCTTGATTCAATTTCGAAAGGATGCTGTCTATTCATTCACGATTCATAATCCTAGAATATCCACTCATCGCCCGGCGTAATCGCTGAAAATTGAATTTAAAAAACAGATCGCTGAATTCAGGCATGCCTCAAAAACTGGATCAGATACAGCATAATCTCAGTTATCAGCCTGACTGGTCATCAAGTTGGAAGGAAGAACCATGCAAATGTGCACCTGCTTCTTATGCCGGTTTGTTTTCGTCAACGATTGCTTTTGTTTGCACTAAATCGAGTTTCTGAGTGTTTTATCCACAGTTTCCTATGGATCAACGTAATTTTCTGTGAACCATATCTAAATGTCAGCGAGAAAAAAAACTTACGGTGATCAGGCATCTTTACAATAACACAATGGTCCGTTGCATTTGAAAATGAAGACGAAAATGGGCGTGAATTCACAACAAAAGTGACGATATCATCAGTATCTCACGGAATGGTGCGTTTTGGAGGACGAATATAGTCACGGTTACAAAATTTGTTGCAGGCATGATACCGTATTTCGATGCCAATTACTACCCCAAAGAATTTGTCGCGTTGAACGAAGACAATCAAAAGCGTTGTGTGGAGAGTGTTTACGGCAATCCGAGCATGTACAGTATGGACTCTTCATCGAGTGCATGTCTCAAGCATCCACAGAACTAACGCTAAAAGCAACAGTCAATTAACCACTACTATTATTATATTTCTGATAGTGCAACCATTATGTGAGCAAATCATCAACCTCTGCAAAACGTCACCAATTAAGCGGAGGCGAGAATGTATTGTAAATGAAAAAAAGATATTGATCGGATAAGGGAATCACTACACCGAGGGTTGGTTCGTCCCGAGAATTATAAGTTTTATGAAAATTGCGTTGATGTGTCGTAGACGTAGGGAATATCTTCGCTTTTAATGCAACAACTTCAATTTTTTAAACAATTCATAACATTGTCATTATTGATCGTCTCTTTAAAAACTGTGAGAAATATTACTGACTGAGCAGTAATATTTCTCACAGGGTCAGCGGTTTGAGGTTTTCAGGGAAAGCTATTTGAAAAGCAGCTGCTCCTGCTCGAGAATCTCAAGCCATCCGAAAAATTCATGAAGAAATCGTTTTCATGCATTCCCATTCATTTTTTCTTCAGTAGCTCTCTTCAGTAGTTCCCTTCATTAGTTCATCGTATGAACTGCATACTCAGTCATTCCTTTTTTTTGTGATTCATTCGCTATTAATCTTATCAACTGAACATGATTTTTTATTCATATTTATTCATAAATCGATCATATCTAATCTGCATCAACACGAAAATTTCATTATTTCACAAATTTTCCAATAGATCATTCTTTTATCAAGTGCATAGTGAAAATGATCGAATCTTCATGATAACGATCGATAAGAAAAATTCAGTGCACTGATCCTGCATAATGCTCACACAGATCCCGATTCCCTGGCTGCATAAGCATACATGTTTCATGACCTCCTCATTGTCGATGGCTTCAGAAAACACCGAAAACTTGTAAAGAAACACAAGTTTCAGAGCGTGTAAAATTCACTTTATCAAATAATACCATCAAGAAATAGTTAATGATTATTGGAATTACATTCGGACAGTGACTATTCGTTGAACCTCCTCAACACCGCAACAAGATCATCAGGTGCAGTGACATTAAGACATCTGAAGAAATGAGCAAGCTTCTGTATGCTTACGGCAAATGCGTCCACCTTCTTCTCTGCTTTAACGAACTCCCAAATGCGCATCAAACCATTCAGATCTTTTCTTTTGCCTGAAACGAAAACTTAGCTCTAATTGAGTTGATCACTTCAAAAACTGTGCGCAAGAAAGAAACAAAAAATTTGCAATGCATGCAAATTCACTCCATCTGCAAACTTCAAGATGACCACTGATATTGAACTGAACTGGATGCCGTTCAGAAACTGAAGTTTTTTTT